TGTCAACTACGTGTGACATTTTGTTTTAGATTTTGAATAAATTCAATTTTGTGCTCACAGTTTCACTATTTTATTTTGTTTTGAAAAAAATATATTTTGTTTGTAAAGTGGAAATTCCGATTTTTTATTTTTAATTCTCCAATAAATTAAATTTTTTCCCATATTTTTGTTTTTATTTTATTTTTAAACTAAATTTTTTTTCAATCTAGCAACACTGTATTTTTTTTTTTTTGTCAAAACTGCTTCAATAACTTTAATTTTATGTTAGCGTGTTTATTTTGTTTTTGTTGAAAGACTTGCTTTTCCAGATCAATCAATCAGTAAATTTTACTGTTACAATTTTTTTATTTTATCATGCCATATCTAATTATTGTAGTATTCGGTAGTATTTTATTTCCGTATATATTTCTTTTTTCTTATTAATTTTTAAATTCGAATTTAAACATCTAATTTTTATAAATTTGCATGACAAAATAATTTTATAAAATTTTCAACTGAGACTCTAAGGGTTAAGCAAATATTTATTTACAAATGCGCATAATTTATATCCAAACAAACGCTTTTATTCTTAGGAATTTATTATGTGTTCAGCCAAAGCTATTTCATAGCGATACAAAAGTACCATACATTACAATGTATGGTTACAAAAACAGCAAATCATTGTAATTCAGAAAGAAATGAAAGAAGTCAATTGCAAACATTCTCAAATGGAAAAGTAAAAGTAAAAGCAAAAACAATTCAGATATAAATTTGAATTCATGCATAACCTCACATTTTATACACACTCACACACAGGCATACAGAGTTATTTATATGCATCAGAGAGCCCTAAATATATATACCTGGTTGGCAGTGATTATGAACAGATATCTATGCTACGTATGAAAAATTTCATAAGCATGTGTGTATATCTAGGTAAATAGGTATGTATAGCTATATATTTCTTGTATATTTGCGCTTGTAAGCGTGCAGCAAACAAGAAATTCTAATTACCGCGCACAGACAATGTCAAAAGGCACTCAAGTTTGGCGAAATCATACAAATATAAACTTGCACGTGCGGAAATCACAAATACGTACATAAATACATTGACATATACATGTATATTATGCATATATAAATTCATAAAAACATAGGCAAGTGGCCGCGAATAGTCGTTGACACGCCTATTGGTGGCAACCGTCGCGAAGAATTAAAGCTTTAAGCCCACAAAGCAGTTTGAAGTAGCGAATGTCTGAGTAAGAACAATAAAAAAAAGAGTTATCGCTGGTGGAACATGCAGGCGGGTGCAAATGGTGGCTATTAAATATCAGCGATAAAATGTGTTGTGCGTGGGCATGTGCAGCCATATCGAGGCTGCTGCGTTGCGGCATCTGTATGCCGCTGCTGGCGTGCAGTGTTAAGTGAATAATGCGTTGGTTCTATATGCTTGTATTATATAATATAAAGAAATGAATATAAACAAAAGTGGTGCAGCAATGTATTGAGAAAATGAAAGATAAAATGAAAGAATTTTTATAAAAAGCTTTGCAATGGTGAAAGCAAAACGTGCCCGCTGCGGTTGTACGTGTTTGTTAACATCTAATATCGCAAAACTGAGTGTCTATGAGGCGATAAAAATATGTGTGGATGTGCATACAGTATGGCGAATAATTGAACCCAAAGGTCAAAGTTTAAATAAAATCTGGTTTTTATTATTATAATTAAAAAATTAATAATAAAGTTAAATATTAACTTTCTTTTAATCTTTTTTATTAATAACAGACTAACCAAAACAAACTTATGCCTGAATAGTATAAAAATCTATTTATTTGTATAAAAGTAGATTAAATTTAAGTTTTTCAAAAAAGCCTGAAAATGGTCTTTTGACATGCTCTGCTTTTCTTTTTGATTGAAGATTATTTTTGGTCGTCTCAATGGCTGATGGTTTTCTGAACAAATTTAAATATTTCTTTTGATTCACATATTATGTAGTAAACAAAGAACAAAGTCTGATTTAACTCCACTCGTTTTGTGAAAAGAATTTTATTTTTAATTATAAATAATATTCTTTTTAGTCTTTTAAGTGTTCGATTTACAAATTGTTCTCTCTATCGAAATAGTATGCGATGTGAGCATAATTCTTAAAAATTTGAAAGAAAAAGTTTAATCTTCAGTTCAATGAAAATAGTTTCTTCAAGTTTTGGCCTGCTTTTATGCTCTGGTATAAGCTAGATTAGCAGGACTTTACTAGATTGCTTTCTCATAAAATTAATCTCGAAAAGTTTATGCCTCTCTAACTCTTTTTCACTTTTTGGATTTAAGATGCTTTTTATACAGCAAAGCAAACCAAAAAATAAACAACGCTTTATTAATGAGAAGGAATCTTAAGAAACTACCAGCCTTAATTTGAAATTGCGCAAATTACTTAATGAGCAAAAACTACAAAAGCTGTTTTGCTATCGTAGTATTTGTTATAAGATCAATTTTATACAAGTTCAGGTCTATTCTTGAGATTTTTGAGCAAAACAAGAGATGCTACAGATTTTATGATAAATTGAGTGAAACTTTATCGTTAGTAATTAACAGAGATCACTTATTGTTACATTGTTTCAAAGCAAGAATTACTAAATTTTAAGAGGCTAATCATTGGATTGGTTACGATCTCATCTAAATGAAACTTGTCTAAACAAGGCTTTTTCGTGAGACTAGAAAAATTAATTTCCTGTCACATTAAATAAAATCATTTTCTTTTATAAAATAAATAACAAGAAAAAACATTAATTTCGGTAGCAGCGAAGCTATAATACCCTTTATTTGTTATAGCAAAAAATTATATAAAAAGTTCTTCATATTGATTTTGATCGGTCAGTTTGTATGACATATATTACATATACGTATATATGATCGGAGATTAGAGCATTGTCTTGGACAATAATCAATGCAAAATTTGGTGAAGACATCTTGTCAAATAAAAAATTCTTCCACACAAAAACTTGAATGTTATCGATAAATTTGTATGATAGCAATTTGCGTGACATATCTAAAGCGACTCAGCTCATCACGCCGATCATTTATATATGCATATATTGAACTTTATAAAGTCTTCGAAATTTTCTTCCGCGTTTTACAAACTTTCTAGCAAGGTTAATCTATTTTATTCAGTGCAGTGTTTTAAGTACATTTTCTACTTTATACAAAAAAAAGTTTCTCAATATCATTATTGCGCATTATTATTTTATGTTTTCTTCTTCTTCTTTTCTCATTGCACCAACACTTTCACTTCATTGCGATGAATGATCGAGCCGGTAGCTGCTTTGCCTCAATTTATTTGCAACTTTTGTCGCTAGTTCTAATGGTTTGCCATTTACGCCTCAACAAAGTAAAAATTTATAGCATTTCTGGCATTCAGCCTGTCAACGTGACACGTTTTAAACAACAATAACAACCACCATTACTGCAATAACAACGTGACGTATTTATATCATAGACAGGCAAACACATACAACCATATGTTGGTATATAGCATAAGTAAATGTATTATTGAATACACATATAAAGTGTGCGGTGTGCCTCACTCCTTGCGTAGAGTGCTCGTCAGCGCTTTATCAATCAAACATTTTGCGCCTCGAGTGCCGCTGACTTCAAGCGAGCGCGGTATGAGACGCGTGTCTGACTCGTTTTCTTTTTGCTTTCTTGCGTATGTGTGTGTGTGTGTGTATTTGTGGATTGGTGGTTGGCTGCTTGTGCTGAAGTGGCATAATGATTGCAAACATATGCACATATAGAGATGTCGCCTAATGGCGCTCATTGTTTTGACATTTTCGTTTTGCTTCCTTCTTATTGTCTCTTTTTGTTCGGTTGTGTCAGGAAAAGTGCTTAGCTGATGGAAAAAATTAAAAGTATTTTTATACGACGTGACATTTTAAGATCTCAGGGCACAAATAAATGAATGTGAAAACAAGTACAGCGGGATGAGAGTTTTGTTGATATATGTATGTAGGTATATATGAGTAAAATATAATTTTTGTAGATTTTTTGGAAATTTATGCGCATATAAGTTTTCTATATGTTTAATATGCACAATACATTCATAGGTACACATATATATCTTATCTTTAAAAATGCCCGAGAATATATTTAAAGAATTACTCTATAGCAATATAATTGCATCACAGCTGATATATAACTCATTGCTTTATTGTAGCTTAAAACTCTATTACTCTTAAGGAATTTTCATTTTTTAAATAACGGTTCTTATTTTGATTCGATTTTGACTACTTACGACGTGTTTTCAGAAAATAACGTTAATTTTTAAATTTAAAATTTCACGGGTTTGGAGAGCCTAATTGTCAAAATTTTGCTGTAATGAAGCCCAAGCCTTCATATTCGCTTTTCGATTATTTCGACTATTGGAAGAAGCGCTGGCGTTAGTGCATAATATCGATTGGGACTATTTTCAAAACGCTTATGTTGGCGAATATAAATCGTAATATTTTTTCAAAGAACGAAAAAGCGTATTTCTTATGGTGTTTTTTATGCTCCAGCATCTATAATAAAATAAAGCTTCTTATAAGAAGTGCCTGCTTTGAACCTTTAGAATAGAGTTTGCTTACTAAATCTTGGCAAGCAGTAAACCGACCGAAAAGATAACGGTTGTTAACTGTTTCATAGTGACAATCCTCTCTTATCACCTGTGGATGAAACCTAAAACAAAATCTCTACAAGAAGATATTGCCTATACAATGAGCTAAACTAAAACTAAGTAAAAAAAATCAAAAATTAAAAAAGCACACTTAGAATTAAGTTATTAATATATTTATTAACTTTGACCATTTAAATAAATGTTCTTATATATAATATGAAATAATTTCTTTTTCTAACTAACTTCTAAACTATGTGTTTAAAATAAAATGCATCATAGTTATGTATGTGCGCCTGCTTGGAAACCGAGGTCAAATATCACAACTACAGACCAAAACAACAAAAGTAACTAATCACAAATTTTTATATATTTTCAGATTTCTTTCGTACGTGCTGTTACAAACTACTGTAAGTGCTAAATTGAAATCAACAATAACAAAAAATAAGCCGAAAAATTAGCAACAAAAACGCCACACAGAAATTTGTTCGAGCAGGAAAATTGCGCAAATGGGTTTTTTACTATCCAAATGGAAAAGCAAGTGAGATAAGTGCGTGAGTGAATGCGTTGTAATTGAATTTGCTTTGACGTGCTTACGATTTTATGGATGTGAAATGAAAGTAAAATATTGAAACGTTAAAAGCGAAAGCGAAATCAGAAAAAAAAAATAGAAAGAAATTGGAAAAAAAGATTTCTGTATACAACTACACGCGTGTAACTACAATGTAACAACAAAACACGTTCAAACAACAACTAGAATTTCCAAAAACTACCAGCAGTAAAACAACAAGCCTGAACTATGTTCTAATGTATAGCGACAGTTGTGTGTCAGCGGTATTTCATATAGATAAACTCATACTAATGGCTGTTACGCATACGCAGTGGCATGCCCTAGGTAAGAGGTTGAGTATAAGTGTATGAATTTTGTTATTGAACGCTGCGGCTGCCATTTGGACAGACAAAATTCGTGTGCCCAGACATACATATAAACATACTCGTATGAACTTCATATATATATATATATACCCGTGAATAATAACTCTAACGTGCAAATTCATTGGTGCAAAATTTAAAAATTCTCCAAAAATTTTTGTCAGAATACCTTCACCTATATAATATTCGACAAAAAGAAGCCAAAAAAACTGTAAGCCCGCAGCAGATATTGCAAGCAAAATACGGAAAATATGGAGGGTGTGCGAAATAGCTGTAAAAGCAAGCAAACAGTGAATTTTAAGAATTCCAACGAATATTTCATCAACAACGCAAAACATACCGAACAATTATCTAAAACAGCAACCGCAGCGTGAACGCAGCTGAGCTTGTTTGTTTAATTCTTGAATGCTGAATAAACATGAAAATATTGTTATTTCTTTGTTTGTGGCGTGCGTAGAAATAACGGCGCAAAAAAGTGTACTTTGAAGTTTCCATCACTTTAGCAAGCGAAATTTCGCAGTGAAACGAAAGTGAAGTGCTGGTGAAGGATTACAAGTGAAATAAACCAAATATTTTTTCATGGAAAGTTCGACAAAAACACAAAAATAATATAAAAAATAAAAATAATAAAAATTGCGCATATTATACAAGCAAATGCTAAAGTGTTGTTATGCTAGTGCAAATCGTTGTTAATGTTGAACAGCTAACCTAACTTGAACCTAGTGGCGTTACAATAGCAGTGCAAATAGGTTAAAATAATAAAAAAATAAATATTGCACTCACAAAAATAATAAATAATAAGTGTTAGTGCAACCAAAATCGTGTTAAATTCAATAAACTCTCGCGTGTGCTTGCGAAAAAGGAAATACTAGTGGATGCACGCTGGCGCAAAAAATATATTTAAGGTGAGTTTTTATGTTAATATGCAATTGATTGGTATTAAATTTAGTTTACTAGGTATGAATACATTTTTTGGAATTTTAGCTCAAAAAGTTAATTACACATTTTATTGAAGTTACAAATTAATAAATTGGTTTTAGGAAAAGCAAGACCAAAGTACACTTAAATATATAATTAATATTTAAATGTACTCACTAAACAAAGTTATGAAAAATATAAATTTTTATATAAATTATCGTGAAAGCGGTATCCCTATACTATTAAAGGAGGAAAACTTATTTTAAAAGAAGTCAGAATACATTTTTAATACGCCTATTTTCGCAATTGGAAATTTGTTATATACACTTCATGTCAGAAGAAACGCAGTTTTTGTGTTTTTGTTTTTTGGATACGTATTTTATTTAATAAATTAAATATATTTTTAAAATTTAAGATACTTCAACAATAGGAAATTCGCCCTTGCTAGTCGAATTTGCTTAGTCAAAAATATCAAAAATGTGGCAGTTCTTTTTTTTATTTCTATCTTTCTTATCTATTAACATTTCCTCAATTGAATTATGCACTTATTTGAACCTCTATTTAATAATAAAAATGCTGTACGATTTTTTTAAAAATATTATTTAATGTAGGTTTTCTTGAAATGATTTAACTTTTTAACAACTTCAAGACAATACGTTTAATTTCATTTTCTTGACTTTATTTTTGCCTCAACAATTTTCCTCGCCAATGCTTCCGAAAATTATTCCGAAAGGCTAATATTTCGCTCCGGCCAATTAATTTCATTACGCTAGATGCCGACTTTCTTTGTTTTCATGTGAGTATACTGAGGTGAATAATGCTTCAATCTATGAGTTCTGTTTGTATACTGAGCTTGCTTAGCTAACAGCATACAATAACAAACTTATATTGAAGTGTTTGAAGGTAGAAATCGCCCCAGAAGCTGGTAGCTTTGAACAATGGGAGAGGCATTGTGTTTCAACAGGAAAACGCTAGGACATTTACATCCATGGTCATTCGCAAGAAGCTCCTGAAGCTTGATTGTGATAATCTTATGCATTCAACTCATATTCTGGATATGGCACCAAGTGATTAATACCTGCTCCTGGCTATGGCGAGTGATTTTCCTGGTGAAAAATTCGTCACAAAAGAAGCTTGTAAAAGTCGACAGTCCCAGTAGTAGTACGGCATTAAATTTTTGACAAGACTATAAGCTTTGCAATTTAAAATATTTTTTTTTAATTAAGTTATAAAATTTAATAGAAAAAAACAAATTTACCCTAAAAAAGTAAAATTTTAACCGTTAGTAGCTTTTAAACGGTTAGGTAAACGAAAAATCTGTAAGAGACCGTTTTGTCGACCATTCAATTTCCTACAAAATCTATGAAACGAAATACTTTTTCAAGTAGTTGGAAGCGAGATATGATATCTTATCTGATAATATTACAATTCAGAGCTATTACAATTGAGAGCTCATACATGCAGAGGCTTTCTAAAAGGTGTCTATCAACCAATTTTTCAGAGTGCGAAGCGGAAAAAAAAACACTTGGATTTTTTTTTTGATCTCTTATGTCTTTTTTTTGATCACTTTTGTTTTTTTTTTATCCGGATATAGATATCGTTTTTCCATTGAGATGTCAATCAAATTCCTTCCTCTTGTGGTGCATTTAATTTTACTTAGACTTTCATCATTTTCTTTTAAAGAAATGATTCCTACATACCTTTTCTCGCAGTGTTTTGAAATCTAAGCTACCGGAAACTCTTCACTCATAACGAAAACACTAAAGAAATACAAATTTTATTCAAATGATTGCGTAGCTCTACGCAGTTATCCCTCGGGCACGAAAACCTAGAGGTATGCCAAGAACAAAACAAAGAGGTATGAGTATGTACTCCCAAAGCGATGCAATTAAAATTTTCACTTTCCATTTGCCCGCGCTTGCACACACACGCCTCCTCTAAAATACATTAAATGGAAAATTGAACAAAAAAAACTTTTCGAAGCAAATAAACAAGCGCATTAAAAAAACCTCACGCTGGAATAAATTAAGCAAAATAAATGACAAAACCAAAACAACAAGATATGAAAAGAAAGAATTGTTATACAAGAAAAAAACCAAAGCACCGTCTCACTAATACTATTCAAATGGCGCACCGCATCGCTTACAAACCAATAATACCCTAGGTACGAGTATTCTAATGCTATAAAAATTCTTAAAAAAAATTAGTGCAAGTGAAATTTAAATTTGTTTGCATTTCGAGCAACGCGTTCAATGCGCTTCAATGAACCTCATTTTCATCATTTTCATCACTTTCATTGCTTTGCAGCGGCGCAACGTTAATGTTTTAAATCGCCAAGCAACCGTTACAAGCAGAACTTTATGCGCCCAATGCCATCAACTGTATTGACTGAAGACTGGTTTGGTGTTTGGTGGAATTGTGGAATTGTGGGCTCTCTGTGACGCCCACAAGCGCAAATCTGCTTGCCATCTGCGGCGAAGGTCGGCTGTCGCGGCATCACAACTTCAAAGCGTACCTCAGCGCAGTCACTAAGGATACTTGATATTGTTGGAGGAGTGTGTATGTGTTTGTGTAACTCTGTGCTAAGGCCAAGCATAGCATGCAGCGCGGCGTTAATGCGCAGGGTAACTCAAATGTCTCACTGAATGACTGACTGATTCATTGACTAAGGCATAATTCACTCTGCTAAATACACACCTTGTATTATATACTTCACATTATTGATGGATATATATACATATGTATGTTTATACAGAAATTCATCAACTGCAATAGTGGCTAACACGTGGCGCGCCGCATGAAATCTTGAGAAGTACATACATATATACACATTTACTTACTATTGTTATCTTTTTGACTGCTTTGAGTACTGTTGATATTGTTGTTGCGCTGTTAGTGAAATGCTATAGAAGTATGTGTTGTTGATGCTTGGCATATTACTTTCGCTGCTTTTTTTTTCGGTAAAAAGCAGGGTGTTTCAGAAAGTGGAAGACGGGAGAGAAAGAGGTGTAAAATTAATGTAAAAAGTTTTTTGAATTTTCGTTTAGGTATGCTGCACCTGTTGTATTACAGTCAAAGTAATCATTATCATAAACAATTTTCGATAATGTCTAGAATTCTAGGGTTTCCAGACTCCTTATAGATAGTGGAATGTTGTGACTGGAGACCTAAAACTACGCTATTTCAGATATCTGGAATTCAAGTTCCACTCGTGCTTTCAATCTTTCGTTTATCACAATAAATTGCTATATTTAAGCGATTGATTTCGTACGAAAATGAAGAGCAGATACCTCAAAGTCAGAAAAAAAAACGTTTAACTTTAGTTTGTTTCTTTATTTATTCTTCCTTTTTTCTGTTCGACCATGTACATATATATGTGTGTAAAAATTGTCAAAAAATTATCACAAGATTAGATACATGCAAAAGTGGACCTAGAAACCCATTTATTCAATTAAATTATTTTTATATCGCTCAGTTTCGTATATTAACCAGAAGCTAATAATTTCTCAAATCAGGAAATTTTAGAAACACAATACGTCTGTAAAAACGTTGACATTTAAATAATGCCTAATAATTTTCATTTAACATTTGCATCTAAAAGTGACTATCTCTTTTGGCAGTTTTAAAAAATGTACAATTTTATTTCAACATTCTCTGCAGGTACATTTGAATGAATTGAAATAAATGCTTCAAAAGTAATAAATCACATGCTAATTCCTAAAATTTCATAAATGTATTGCACAATGAATAAAACTGATAGATTTTTGTTATATTGCATAAACTATCAGTCCCAATATATATTTCGAGTTTGAGTCAG